CTACAGTAATGATTCCTCTTTGAATATTAGGTACTGTAATTGGTATTCTTGTGACGAGTTTAATAGGTATACGGAACCAAGATCGAAAAGATTGAGAAAAGAATTTAATAAATAAATTCATAATACACTGAACCACCTAATGTGATATATGCCTTCCAACACCTCCTCACATGTAAGATTTATTTTTTTTCCAAAAATTTGACAGATATATTCACAAATTTTATAATTCTACTCCAATTAGCACGTTAAAACACTTCATCTAAACAACTTTTAATTATTAAGAATATATATATATATATATATATATATATATATATATATAACTCTTCTTGACATGTAAAAACTAATATGTAATACGAGTAAAGAGGGAGAAGCCATTGGCTGGTCGGTTGGTTTGACGTTACAACATTTATATAAGTCATCCAATAGATGCATGAGAACATAAATATAAGAGGAAGAACTAATTCAAAATAATAAAAATTTAATATAAATATGAACTTTGCCACGCTCCGAAATACAAGAAATATATATATATAATGTAATATTTCAGGTCTTCTTCAATTCTTCATATGATCCAGTCAAGAATTGAGTGTGTACAAGTAGTAACATCGAGTATAGACTAACAAGTCAAAGACAGAGAATGAATCAAACATCTACAGCACCAACATGGTTACAACATTGTCATCACCAAACTTTGGACAAAGACTCGACTCAAGTAGAGGTTATTTCCCGGAGTCAGCCACCCAACTTCGATGTGGAACTTGATATCGACATGGGACAAGAACAATTTTTGAAATAAATAAAAAGTAAAGTAGAATATTACCTTTTTTATGTTAACATTTTTATCTTACAATTCTACGGGAGAAGAAAACTACACTTCGAGTAACGATCAATTACTTTTCAAAATTTTCTGCAGCACCAAGAGAATTTTCAAAACCCCTTTCCTTTGAAAATTTATGAAGTTTTCATCTATATATGACTATTAATACAAACTTTGAGCTCGTTTGACAGGATTTTTGCTTTCGATTTGTTTCTTGTAAAAGAATTTTTTGAGAAAATCATCTTAAGTCAGTTTCTTCTAAATTATTATAATCAGGAAAAACGTTTTTAAAAAAATATTCAAACATACTCAAAAATTAATTTTGACTTTTTAAAAGTCATACCGGACGGTCCATTTATTTCTTACAAGAAGTGCACTCTAATTATTGTGTCTAACATTTGTCTCTAGGAAACTGATCACGTGTGTTTCACGCTGGTCTCGAATCAGTCAACTGTTTTGAAGATTTGAATATTAGAGATGGCAAAGGAAAAATAAAAATAAACAAGGTCAGCCACTGAGGGGGTGGGGTAGGGGTAGGTTTAATGAAAGAGGACAAGAATATATATGAAGTTGAATTTGTTAGTGATCGTATGTGGAGGGCGTCTCCTGTCCCTACAAAACCTATTGGTCTTAAAGAATCTGTCAATGGTTTCTGAGAACTAGATACTGTTGTGCTTTCTTTATTCCCTCTATATATACATCTCCATTCATTTTCTTAATTCCCACAATCCCATTTCCTCTCTTAATTTACACTCCCATTAAGAGTTAGCCAGGTAAGTATCTAATTCTGATTTCTTCCTGGCCTCTATACCGTATTTACAAAAATCTTGTTCATTATATTGTCATCCGTCAATGTCTCCAGCAACGGTGATGCCAGAAGTAAGTAGAAAAGTTGATTATGATTCATTGGAAATCCAATACCTGAAAGGAGTGAAACATCTGTTTGAGAATGGAATTGAGCATGTTCCTAAGAAGTACATATTACCAGCTTCAGATCGTCCCAACGTTGTCAATGAAAGATCACATGGCGCTGATAATCTCGAGCTTCCAATCATTGATTTTGCCGAATTGCAGGGTCCTAATCGGTCTCAAGTCCTTAATTCTCTTGCCTCTGCCTGTGAAAATTATGGATTTTTCCAGGTAAGTTATTCTCAATGCTCTGAATGCATATGAGTTTCCGAAATGTTTGTTAATCTTTTGGATAAATGCAGCTGGTGAATCATGGTATACCGTACGAGATTACAAGCGACATGGTAGATGTTAGTAAAAGGTTTTTTGAGCTTCCATTTTCACAAAGAGAGAAATACATGTCAGCAGATATGGGGTCGCCAGTTCGATATGGAACAAGCTATAATCAGACAAACGATAGTGTCTTTTGTTGGAGGGACTTTCTCAAATTGGTTTGTCACCCTCTACCAGATGCCCTTCCCCATTGGCCTTCTTCTCCATTGGATTTTAGGTAAGAGCTGCAATATCATACGAGAAAAACTATAAAATATGGAAGACGACGTTGTATATCACATTATACTCTTTTTTTTTTTGCTTTTTACTATAGTAAAAAATTACAAAATTCTTGGACTCACATCAATGCTGAATCACTGTAAATTTATGTGTTTTCTTTGCTTGCCTGCGATTCTATTTTAGATTTATCATTGTTTTTCTAAGTTGAAATTAGGGTTTATTATGTAACAAAGGGAGTGGTTGAGTTTTAATTGATGGTATTTAATTTTCAAAATTATTGTACTTTTACATGATATATACATCTGTTCTGAACAGGTTTTGTTTGGTTAATTTAATTATTTAATATTTAAACAGGAAATTGGCTGTTAGTTATGCTAAAGACGTCAAGTTCTTGTTCCTAACGCTGGTGGATGCCATCCTAGAGAGCCTTGGGCTAGTGAACAAGAAGAATACGACGGAAGAAAAAGACGAGGATGACGATGAGGATGAGAATGAGAATGAAGAAGAAGAGATATTAAAAGAATTTGAAGATGGAAGCCAGCTAATGGTATTGAATTGTTACCCTCCTTGTCCACAACCTGATTTGACACTGGGAATGCCACCTCATTCTGATTATGGATTCCTCACTCTTCTCCTCCAAGATGAAGTCAAGGGATTGCAAATACAGCATAAGGAGAATTGGATTACAGTGGAACCCATTCCTGGATCCTTTGTTGTCAATGTTGGAGATCATCTTGAGGTACATATGATTACGTACCTGTATTTAACACGTATATTCAATGACTCGAGAGCATTAACTACATGAACGATAATGATGAAAATGCATTCTCGAAAGATTTTTCATTCCCCTTTTTAACATCTCTCTTAAAAATCATTAATGTTATGGGAACCTATAAACCCCAAACACGGAGGGTTTATTGTGCAACCTAGGATCCCGATGAATAAGAAAAAGGATGTAGAAAAAAGTTTACTATTATTCAAAAGTCGTGGTACAACTTTTAAAATTATATTTTTGTATGTTTTGCCAGATATTCAGCAATGGGAGGTTTAAGAGCGTATTGCATCGAGTACTTGTGAATTCGATGAATTACAGGATTTCAGTGGCTTCTCTGCATAGTCTTCCTTTCGAAAGCACAATGCGACCATGTCCCAAACTCGTTAGTGAAACAAATCCAAGGCGTTACATGGACACGAATTTTGCAAGTTTCATAGAGTACTTAAACTCTCGTGATTCAACAAAAAAGAATTTCCTCCACTCGAGAAAACTGACTTCATGAACAAAAATAAATAAATTCAAAAAATTTGGCGCAGACTTTTTCTATTTTGACTTTTTGTAGTATCAATTATAGAGAAATTAATTGTATGGGTGCATGTATGGAGTGCAGCAATTGAAAACATACATTATCTGGAAATTATATATACAATAACGAAAGCTTCATTAATGAAATTATTATTTTTTATATTAATTATCCAACTACTTTCTTCCTTGAAAGATTGACTTATAATATTAATTTCAGAATTAATTTGAGGGATTATTTTTTAGGTTTTTTTTTTCAATTTTTTTATGTGCAAGGGATGGAACATCATGATAATTTTGACTTATTTAAGATAGATAAATAATAGATAAAATTAAATAATTCATTAAAAATTGATTATCTTGATAAAAAGAGAAGTATTTTTTTATATGATCCATAAATTATTAGCAACTTGTAGCCTATTAAACTACAAATGTCTATTCAAGATCTTGCTATGAAAGCACTCTACACCATCGTCACACATACTAATGTTTGTTTCAGTACACGGATGTTAACGTATCCTTATAATATTATTGTTTGGACTCAAGATATTTTAGTATGAGACAATTAATTAAGAGCGTGTTTGGTAAAGATTAAAATTGAATTAAAATTGAAAAATTAGTCGTTATTGTTGACTTTTATTAGACGAGTGAGACCCAATAACGACTATATTTTCAATTTCAATTGGATTTTAAACTTAGTCAAGCATGCTCTAAAAATCACCCTGTTTACATATCTCAAGGTAATTTATTTTGATCTTCAAAACAAATTAATCCCCTATTGAAAACTCAAAAGTCCTTTTCATATTCTTTTTAAGTTTTGTGCTAAATATTTGTATATTAAATTATGAATCTAAACTAATATTCCATTGAGGTATCAAATGTCAACTTACTAAAAAAATTTCTATTGCTTACGTTTATTACTTGAAAATGAGAAAATACTGAAGAGTTTGGATGAAGCTTGAACTCGTTCGAGCAGAACAATGTCTGTACAAATTTTGTACTAATTCATATTTTGGTCAAAGTCGTGCCTAATTTTTCTCCATTGTCAATTTACGTGCAATAGATATACTAATATTTTCAATTTTGACGTTCATTCTTATTGGACGAGCTCTTTCTTTGAAAAAGGACGTAACTTGAGGAAGAACTTCCACTTCTTGTAAAATAGTTTCATAAGAAAGTTATCTTATGTCGATTTTCTTAAAAAGATCTTTTAATCAGTATTTAAGAATAATTTTTAACTTTTCAAAAATTTTATTAGAAGAGCGTTTAAACAGAATCCTTATGACATTATAGAATGTAGAAACAAAACACTCATTTTGACAGTTCATGGTCTTCCGTGCACATTATACGGACGCAGCCCTTGGCGATTAGAAGCCGCCAGGGTCAGGCCATAATCTAGATTTTGGACCACAATTTTGAGTTAGTTTAGTTGACCACATTTCTAGATTTGACTTGATGGTCATGGTCTAAGTCCTGTTTGAGCTATATATATATATTTTTCATTCTCATTCTTTTACTCATTTTCAATTACACTTTTTTCAATAAAATAATATTTTTTATCACATCAATAACTTTTTCTTCTTTTCAACCACATATTCCCTATTACATCAATCAAATAAATGCATTCTTAGAGAAAAAATGTGCACCAAACAGGAGCTAAAAGTGAGAAAGGGATCAGGCACAATGTTGATCCCATCCAAAATTATGTTTCCATTCGATGGTGGTTAAAATTAATTTTTTGGAAGATTTTGATAAAATTGGATAAAATATGCCATCAGATGGCTGTGAATTTCATAAAATGTGTGGTGAAAATTAATTGTTGACTTTGATTTGAATTAACATTTTCATTTTAATTTCCACTAAACATGAGCCCTTTGTGTGTGGTTTGGATAAAAAAACAAATTTTAAATAAATTTTGATAAAAATTAATAGAATATGTGGTTGAAAAATTGTGGCTCACATAAAATGTATGATTAAAATTAATTATAAACTTAGTTTTAGCTTTTAATCCATTTTTTAGCTGAACCAAATAGAGCCATAGTTTCACTTCACCATTATCAATAAAACAAACGGCGTTTAATCTCAACCCTTTTTACTCCTTTTAAGACGAGCACTCACTCTCTAGTAATATTAACTAATGGATCGTTATTAATTTTTCGAAGTCAAGTGTACACATTCTCAACTGTTAGGGACTATTAGAACAATTAAGCCTGTTGAACAGGCTCGGTGACAGGAGCCTGTTCCAAGGGCTGAAATGTCAGTCCCTGATTGGCAAGGTTTTTTTTAATGAGAATTCGTCCAAGTATCCGTTTGTTTAAAAATCTGTCATTGAGTTCGTTCCAGTAGCAAGACTGCTATTGGAATTGTCCAAAGTTGTCACTCTACCTTTTCTAATTGGAGAAATCAAAATATATTGTGCTCTCCAAATTTATATTTTTTTTATAGCCACAAATATATTGTCTTAACTCTTAAACATCGGGTTTTGTTATTTGTATCGCTTTAAATAATTCATGATGGAGATAAATGGTACACCTTGTTAAAGATAACATTTTAGTGCCATTTCTGTCAATTTTCTTCAAAGCTAATATAGTCCATGGGCTGCAAGCCTATCTGGACCGAAATTCATTGCTGCAAGAACGGCACACAAATAGGTCAATTTTGAGAAGACGCGACATCCATGTCGTTCATCTTCAATTTAGTGCAATCAGATTGTTCGATTTACTTACAAATATCACTCATCTTAATTGTTGCAATCAAGCAAACCTAACTTCAATTCTGACTATTATGTCCATTGTCGTCAATTTAACTAACATAATTTATCGTCTTGGATGTGAAAAGTAACCGGTGATTAATGTGTATATCCACGCCACTTAGATAATACACACATCTATCTTTAAAGCACTTTTTAAAAAATGTATAAACTTAAAAGTACATTTTTACATGTAAGCTATTCGTTAATTTTAAAGTCAATGTTAGCATATTTTAATTAATGGTAGTGGACAACGTGACTAGATTTGTAAGCAAATGATCAATCGTCTTTAATTGTCGCAATCATGTTACCTAACTTCAATTCGTCAATTTTACTTGGACGTTAAAATTAACCAGTGATTAATGTGTGTGTTCACGTCACACAAAATAATACAAAACAACATTCTCATTCTTCTACTCATTTTCAATCACATTCTTCAATAAAATAATCATTTCCATTACATCAATAACTTTTTATTCTTTTTCAACCATACATTTCTCATCTATCTATAATTCCAAAATACTTTCTTCCAAAATAATGTGACTCAAATACATCCTTAATAATGTTAGTTTTCTATTGAAATATATATACTCCGCTCCTAACGAGACCAGCATAAAGAGAGATTCCGGCTGAAAGCTTTTTATTTACTCACTGCATGAAATTGCTAAGAACAATGCTATATTAGAGGTGTAAAGACCGACGGGCCGACCAGACTCGTGAAAATCGGCCCGGATCGACTCAGGACCACGGGCCGACCCGTGACTCGAGCGGGAGGTTCACGAGTCAAGAAGGTGTGACCCGCGGGCTTCGTAGGTTGCACATTCACGGGTCGTGGTTAACCTGCTGGCCCGTGAAAAAAAAAATTTAATTTGAAATATATAATTTTTGAACAAATATATAAAAGTAAATAATTGAAATGGGGATATATAAATATTAAAAAATATAATTTTTGAACAACTAAATTATAGTTAAGACTTAAATAGGTGCCGACCTAGTTGGGATGTACTTAAACTATAAATTATAATAAAATTAGGTTGTCAATCTAGTTAGGATGTACTTATACTATAAATATTTGATAATAGTAATTAGAAATGCATATAATTGTTATTTGTTTAAATTAAATTTAACTTTGCAAAGTTATAAATAATTCATGTAACATTAAATTTGAATTCTATGTAAACATTTTTTGATATAAATATGAATTTATCATTTTGTTCAATTCTTAATTTACATTTAACAAAAAAAAATATTTTTTGCTATAAATATGAAAAATTGTATATTTTTATAATTTTATTTATACAATAATACGGGCCAAATCGAAATAAACCGCGACCCGCATGGGCTCAACCTCGGATGGGTCAGCGGGCGGGCCTGAGTTGTAATCCAAAATTTGTGGCCCGACCCACCGGTCTGGAACCCCATAGCGAGTGGGCTTTTTTTCACACGGGCCGTTACCGGGCTCATATGTTGATCGGCCCGAACCACCCGGATTGACACCTCTATGCTATATGTATATCAATGCCTACATAATGCCACTTGATTCTCTATTATTTGTCAGTTTAAAACACGGTCAGTCTTTTCGTCCAATCTTTTCCCTCCATATCATTTTGATCGCTCTGACTGTTTTTTTGTTTATTTTTTTCTACACAAACAGCAATATCCAAATGCAAATTGGCATATAGGTTTTGTACTCATCATATCGAAATTATCCTAACAAAACGTGGATGACCTTTTGAATTATCCTAACAAAACCTGATGAAGAGATTAATCAAGGGTTTTGAATAAGCTCATCGAAAATGATAATGATTTAGATGATATATGGATTTTACCAACTGTTTCTCCAAAATAAGCTTTAACGCATGTTGGCCCTTAAAATATTCTAAATAAAATTATTATCTTATTAATTGGGTAAGATTTTTAATTTAGTACACTAATTTGAGTCGATAAATTTTATTATTTAAAATAATAAAATTATTAATTTATTGAATATTTATCGATTTTACGTATAATTTTATATCTTCCATCTAAGTTATAACTTTAATAGTAATTAACGAATTTTGGGTATGATTGTGTTGTACTCAAAAGATTGGTCGTGGGCAAGCTGTTGCATCAATCTCAAAGCCTTCTTTTCAATTTTTATTAACACAAATTATTATTTTAAACTGTTTTAAGTCAAATAGGGATGGCAAAAAAATCATGTTTAACTTGATATCCGTGAGATCCCGCCTCAA